TTCCACCGAAGCTGGCATGAAGGACCGCTTGAAAGAGCCTGCTTGGGCCGGGCTGGGTCGCCGGTACCTTTCGCAGTCCCGTCTTAGGAAACATTTGAGAGCCCTGGGTCAGTCCACACCACTTTCTCCCTCACTCACTCACTTCCTCCCTCCCTCTCTCGCGCCCTCCCTCCCTCCTCCCGACGCATTCCGCTCGGACGTTACACTTTCTCCTCCAGAAACGGCGCCATTCTTCACTTGGGGATTTAATGCGATTTCAACTCCGGGAAGAAGAGGGAAAATATGTGTCAGAATACGTAATGACCGCAGGCATCTTAATTAGCCACGGAGAGGAAGTTGCACTTTTTCTCACGTCCCTCTCACAAACTACTTTCCACACCGCTCGACCCCCGTGTGCACCTGGAGTCGATAACCTCGCCCAGTGTTCAATAGCGTATGAAGGGATCATTGCGTATTCTTTTATACAGAGAATAATCATAGTGCACTACGTAAAAAGTCCGTAGAAAGAAAACACAAAAAATCTACTTTTCAATATCTTTTTTACCTACACTTTTTCCATGTTTATCTCCTAATTCCCAGACTACAAAAACGACCTTTCTGGTTAACCATTTAGTACTCAGCGCAGCCAAGAAGCTGGGGCAACTCCTCTCCCCCCTACTCCACCCCCATACAAGCTCGGCCCCCCACTCATGTCACAGCTGGGCAGCGTCACACTTGGCTCGCATTCCGGCACTCATAACTGGCGCGCTTCGAGGCCGGGCACCGCTTGTCTGCCCTCTTGGGAAGGTCGCGCTTAATCAGACAATTCCTTTAGCATTTATCTCCACGTCATGATCTCTACAGCTTTCTTTCTCTCTCTCTTATTTCCTCCTCTCTTCTTCCCTCCCTTCTTTCCGCGTCCCTTTCCTCGCCCTCACCCTCCTCGCTTTTTAAAAGGTCAGATGAATAAAGTTGTTGTATCATGCCCACGCCGGACTCGTAATAAAACACGAGGGCCAAGCCACTGCCATGTGCCCGAGCTGGCGTGTCACTGATGTGTTTTACTGAGAGAATTCTACATGAAAACTCGTCCCCTCTACGAAACGCTACAGCAGCCCCCAACACAAACATCAACAGAGGAAAAAAGTAAGGTTTCGCGGGCGGCCAAGTGCGGTCATGTGGGCGGACACACACAAGGGCCAACCCGAGAGCGCCGTGAACATGTTTTACGACCATCTGCACAGGACGCAGATGAGGGTGTTTACCAGCGCTGATGATGATACTGTTATCACAGGGCTCCGGCGATGACTACAGTCCCTCTCCACGACACCCATTAAACGCTACAGCAACGCAGCTCCCTGAATTCGATACAGGATACAGCGGATCCTGTGGATAAAAGGCGACACGACGAGGATGAGGCCGACTGTCAAGCGCGATGTGTCACTATAATCCCGCGAGATACGAACATCCGGCCGAGGACTAACGCCGTTCGCGCTGATAAGGATCGCCGGACAGGACCCGAGGTGGCAAGGGCAAGGAGGGGGGGGGGGGTAGACTTCCTTGCGACCTCCTCTTCCTCATTCACTTGCCTTTTAAACTTAGTCATCAGAAGAGACCACTTATTATCTAATTCGCTCAAGCGTGTAGTGTAGCTAAATATAGTTCTAAAAATAATACCCACTGGTCATTCTACTGTCTTCGCTTATTCTTAAGTTATTCAACCACTTATTTTATTTACAACGCGGAATAAAATAGTCTCATCAGTTTCCACTAAGCATTAACAAAAATTTCGCAATGTCGTTTGCCAACACTTGCAACAGAGGAGTCTAGTAATGCACAGCCAACATGGACACCGTATGACTTACACCACCATGCATCGAGGATATAGAAAAGTGCTAGATTCTACCCACAATCAACGTCACTGAGTTCCATAACAAGTCCCAAGACATGAAGATACACATTCATAAAATGAAAGCTGGTTTAGTAGACAAAAGGCAAACCGACTGATTCCCTTAGCGGTAGAAAGATCCCCCCTCCCCGAAGCACACATTACTAGGTTATCAGGAACGCATAAAACAGCTGATACCATGGTATGACTACACTTAGTCTCAGCCATGTCTAATATGCCTGTTAACCCACTACACGACACGCAAAACAAAGAACAAACAAAACCAGACGAGACTCGGCACAAACAAGCCATTACTTCTACAAACACGTGCTCGACAGAACAACAACCCCCCCCCAACCCCCATCCCGTTCACCAGATCTGAGAGTGCATTCGCATTACCACCGGAATCCGACCCATTCTGTGGTTTCACCTGCACACGCTCTGCACACTTTCTTCTAAAAGTGTTTGTGGGAACGAGTGATAGTATTCTACTTTGAAGCATGTTGTGCCTGCGAGTTGTCTTATTCTCTTGCAGGAAGGAATAATACTATCTCCTTTCCTTTCCTTTGTATTATTGTATTTTTTCGCTCTCCATCGTGAAGGGAGGTGCATTTACATGTGCTAGATAAAACCCCATATTTTTCATGCTTAGAACATGTCCCATTCTGGCACCTATTCAAAATACATCACCTCTCGGATAAAACAATACTTAAGATACCCTCAACAAACACATCATACATACCATATATCGCATATTTCAAACACGTGAAAATGGTATGCCCAATCAAGGTCTAAAAAATACTTACGCAGGTCTTGTGCACAGCAATCCAAATCTCACAATCAGCCAACGTCGCTACAATCGCGCACGCAGTCGTCCCTTGAAAAACTGCTCGAGTCACAGCATCCATAGGCCTTTATTTACGAGTCTGAAATGGCTGGGGCTCGTTACGGCTAAGCGTCCGTTGTGGGAGGTCGTCGCAGAGAACGGCCATTCTTCTTCAGACAAAGGCCTCAAAAAGGGACCCCGGATACCCATCTGACAATTCAGACGAGCAAGTAATTTGCATACGGGCCTACATAGCCGTCGCCCCTCCATTATCCAATCATGTGTCGCTCACTCACTCACTCACTTTCTCGTTCACTTAATCACTATCAATGCCTTTTAATCATTCTTCCTCTTTATCTTCTCCTTGTCTCTTCTGAAGTAGAAGTCATTTCTTCTACTCTCCTCGCTCGCATCCTCTCCTCTCTCTCTCTCTCTCTCTACTTCTCGCCTCTTTCTCTCCCTCCTATATAATCCTGTTCCCATCATCATATTTCACTATCTCCTCTCTCTCACTCTCAGTTCTGGTATATTCGACAGATAAGAAAAATACGCATTTCCATAAAATCATAGAATCAACGCTAAAAATAACCGTAACACTATCAAATACTAATGAAGACAGTCACCTAATTTTGATAAAAATTAAATAGGTAAAATAGATATATAGCAATAAAAATTTTCAAGTATATGTATATTACTTCATACATGAAAAAGTAAAGGCTATAAAGGATATGCACAAAATACAAATACACAAGATAACAAACAAGCGTCTATTACGGCAAGCGAGACCCACTTAAAGCGTAATTCTGAAGATTTAAAAAAATGTGCTTGCGTGAAGATAAAAATCAGATTAGCACCTTTAAAATGATTTCTAAAGTAAAATCAAAACATCGAATGAGGACACCGCAATTAAGATATAATGATGATAATTGAAGACACAATCACAGACACAAAAACCACAACCCAAAAACAACAACAACAACAATCACTCCACACCGCAAACCAAAACAAAGTCTGACTCGATTAGAAAATACAAAAAAAGAAAAAATCATTCTTACAAAACAACGCCTCGCTCGTCCCATAAAAAAACGGGCCGCGAGACAAACAAGACTAACTCAAGGGTTCAGGGTCTTCCTAATCCCTTCCTCCGAGGCTTGCACACACGCCCCACTTGCGTCCCACCGCCGGAGAACACTTAAGAACACGAACTCAACCGGGGAGAGAAAGTGAATAACAACAAGATACAGCTATCACAAATCGTCCGGAAAGAAAATTAATGAACATGTACAGATCGTGTAAATTCCCCGACATTAAAATACAATAGGATATTTACATCAAACAACTTCACACACCTCGACAAAACACTGTATTTCCAGATCCTAGAATAACAAATTTCTACAACCGCCCAAATGAATACCTGCGTCAATCTCCGCACATCCTCATACTTATCCACAACAAGCGTCGGATACATAATTCATATTCACGAATGCGGCTCCGGCCAAGACATTATGCACGGGCACAGGAATCCGGAGCACCGATGGACACGTGCAGGATTCACCGCCTCTTAACGAATCACGCGTTATCTCTTATCACGTGAAACCTCCGGGCCATTTCCTTTTCAGAAGGGTAAACCCACAGGCCCCCGTCAGGATGCGGGGGATTACACCATATTCATCCGCCTTAATATGGTCTCAATCTGGGCGGGGATAATTGCCCCCCGAGGGGAGAGAGTAAGGAGAGTCATTACGCAATATACAGCTGGGTGATGGACAGAGCCAACGAGACGGATCCTCGGGTATCACAGTCTCCTTCCAGTTAATCTATATACAATCAGCAAATGATCTAGCTTGCATACAAAATCCACATGCTGCTCTATCCTCACACGAATTTAATCCCCATCCACCACATCACAAAATTAACGCCCTGGAAACCCTGGAAGGAGAGAGAATGCAAAACCAACTCCCATTAGTTCCAGCAACACCCCGCCGCCGCCCACGCCTCGCCTTGGAAACGCGTTGTGCTACATCTCGCGCCGGCATCCTGCTGAACGGACACCCACGCCGGCACTAGGACATGCAAATTCCAGTCCGGTATCCCAAGCCGAGATCAGAAAACTCTGCCAAGGTCCAACCGAGTTAATTTTTTCTCCTTAAATTCAACTTGAACATTTTTTTATATTATTTGTTTCTTGGGGGAGGGGGAGGTGTCGCTTGCAACTTTTCTGACATGTCAAGGTTTCCCGGCATCATCTATCTTTTTATCAGTAAAAACAACAAAAAGACACAACAAATAAACAAATACAGGATGTACTTATTCCGAGTCCCCAGCGAAGGCCTGCTTCAAAAGCCCTGTACTTTCTCCTCGGCCACTTGGTCATCGTGACTCACCTTCTAGCACTCATATCATTTCCACACAAAAACTTACCTGAAATAAAAGAAATCGTATTAGGGATAAGGTTCATACGCTATCTAAATACACATAATTAAAAGCATGACGATAAAAAGATTTAAAAATATATCTTTTATTACAGAAGTAAATAAAAAAAAAACACTGAAAATGTTGTTCGGTGTAGTTTGTAAAAGCTCCCGGGGTGCCTGAGCGAGGCCGTTACGTCTAGGATTTACCTGATGGGCGTGCGTGTGGGCGGCGGGCGCGCGGGGATAAGGGAGGCAACCTAACACTCGGCCAAACGCGGAGGAAAATGGACATAGGTCTAAGGTTCGCCCACTCAGGCCAGTCGGAACTCTCCTCGACATATATACACATCACTAGCAATAGGTTTCAGACATTTTAGGGACTGGTAGACACACTTGCTCCAAACAGTCCGGGACGCAGGCACAATTCTGGTTCGATTCGCCGTCAAGGAACCCGAATCGATAAATTCATTCATTCAATCATTCATCTACTACATTCAACGATGAGGATACAACAGCTCCTCCAATTTCGTAAACAAGGAGGGAGGTATTTGGTCACCAACAACGTTCTCGCACCAGGAACTAATCCCCCGGCATCTTGTCCGACGACCACCCGCTCCGCAAAAGGACGTCGGGGACATACTGGTTTACGAATAGCGGTAACGTTTCTTACACGCAATCTCCTGTGATCAAACGAGGAGAAGGAAGGAGGGGAGGGAGGAGGAGGAGAGAAGGAGGGAGGAGGGGATGGAGGAATGAAGGGGGGAGGAAGGGGGGGTAATAGGGAAGCAGGGATGGAGTAGGGGAAGGGGAAAAAGAAGGTGGGAAGGGGGATGGAGGAAACGGGGTAGGAGGAAGAAAAAGGAAGAGGAAAGGAATTAGGGGGAAAAGTGAAGAGAATATAACCGAAAGAGGGTAGATAAATGAGAGAGGGAAATGAGGACGGTAGAAGGGGGGAGGGAAACTGTAACTTCACACCAACAAAAGGAGAAGACCGGCCGTGATCACTGAAAAGGATGTTGTCCGGAGCCAAGCCAGAGCCAGGGCGAGCTCTTCAGGCCAGCTCACAAGAAGAGAACAAGCCAACGTTGGAAGCATGGCTCCGCTGCCGCCGTCGGGAGCCTTCGTCAAGGACACCGCTCACGTCGACTTCCTGACAATGCATTCAAACGGACTTCTCGGTCGGGCGTCCAACAAGGAAAAGACGGAGAGAAAGCAAGGCAGTTTTTCTTTTGCCAGACTGAATGCGGATGTTGAGGGGTCATCCTAAATGAACCGTGGAGAGCAAAATAAGACAGGTTACGTTATACAGACACAGATACAAACTACACAAACAAAACGCACAATAAAATATAAACAAACTAAACAAAGGCAATATCGTTAGTGTCTGACTTACAATAACGCCTTATCGGCTTTTTTCTGGGAGATACTGGTTATCAGGTACTCGCCCCTCTCGCTCCTCCCCCAGCTCCTCCACGAACAATTCTTCTTTGTCAAGGGCGACGCGCAGCGAGTTGTTATCTCCATTATCAGAGCAAATCACTCTAAAAACAAAAAACTTCTCATCTCTACCATGGCACTAACGCACCACGCATCAGTCATCCATGCATCTCGCATCTTACACGCTAAATCATCATTAATGTCTGCTTCCCTCATTAAAAACGATCTGATCGAGTATAAAAGCAATAAAGAATAACACACGGCAACGGTCTTTGGGCTTTCCTGTCTCGAAAATAAAAGCCTTTCGCCATTCGGACACCTCTCACAGGCCCAGGAAACCTTCCGCAATGAAGAGGGAAATTTACAGGACGAGAGGACGTGCGCAGAGGGCCCCGCGGGTCCAGCGAATCTTATCAGTGAGTCATGGTCCAGGTGGATCTCGTCGCGGCGGCTCTGCTCGTACCAACTGCAAGACACCCCCCCCCCCCCTCGCGCCACCTGCAGGATCCTCGCTCGAAATCATTTATTTACCTTGGAGGAGCGTGTTTACAAAGTAGACGGCTTCCCATCATTCGTGCCCGTTAAGACACCTTTCATCTTGCGGGAGGTTATTTTCTTTCTAAACGAAGGTCTGTGCTCTCTTCTCCTGTCCGTTAACAAACGGGTTCAAAGCCATAATCACGAGGATTCCAATCCGTGATTACGTCTTCCGCTCGCACGTGGTTTCCCTGTCCCACCCTTCTTGCAACCCCACTCACCACGATGCTAACCACGCCTTCTTCCTCTTTCCTCTCCCCCCCCCCCCCCCCCCCCCGCTTTGGGCGTGTCCACACATACGCAGACTCATCTGTAATCCCTCACCTGCACATCCGGTTCACCTGCGTCACGTCACCTTTTCGAAGAATCGTCCCGCGACATCCCCAAGCAACAATATTCCTTCCGCGGTGCATTAATTTCTTGCTAATATATGTCAACATTGCAACAGGTCTTCCGCCCTTGGCCTCAGCTTATCCTGTTCAGTTTATAGTCATATGACCATATAACAAGTGCACATTGTTCGTCCGTGTGTTTTCTTCTAGATAACGGTAATCTCCGATATATAAAAATAATCAAAACCCGATCACATCAGTAAAGTAAAAATGGCCCTTTGATCAGGTTCGTGATCTTGCAAGCAGGTCCGTGGAAACGTTCGTGACTTGCCCGCGCACTGGGAACGTACAAAGCGAGCGTGAACATATTCATAGACTATTTTTATACAAAAAGTGACTTTCTTTGACATTCTACCATGAGAACGGGATTAGTTCCTCTGTTTACTGTCCTCCTCAGGTGTTGGGGACCACACACCGTCCCTCCCACATCGTAAACAGCTCAACAGCACCACCTTTACTCTCCCTTTCACTACTAAACGCGCCTCATAACGGTTAACTAACACTCACTTCCTCATCTGCATAACTTCTCAACACCAACAAACATTAACCCTGTGTCAACACCATTACTCCTTTCCGCCTTCCCTGTTGGCTAGTTTTCTGAAATATCTTCCTCCCTCCCATGTTTATCACTCGTAGCCTATCTCTTCTTAACTCCCCTTTCCCTTCGCAGCTCTCGCGCCTCCCTCCCTCCCTACTTCCTTCCTTCTTCCCTTCCCCCTTCCTTACTTCCTTCCCCCTTTCCCTTTCCCTTTCCCTTTTCCCTTTTCCCTTCCCTTCATTTCTTCCTTTCCTCCTTCACTTCGTCCCTCCTTCCCTCCTTAACCCCTTCCCTCCTTCCCTTCGTCCCTCCCTCCTCTTCCCTTCGCTCGCTTCACCTGCCCGCCCCTTCTCCCTGATGCAATAGCATTGGCGGGCGTGGGCTATCTACGTAGGATCTGATTCTCGCGCGCCCCACTTTCCACTCCGTCCACGCCCACGCGCCTTTATCACGCCCATCCTCGTTAGCGCTTCTTACTCTCCCTCGGGCGGAACCATTGTTTGGCGACGGAGAGACTCGCTGTCTTTCTTTGCCCTCTCCGTCACGTCTGCTGGATCCGGGTTTGACAAATAAGCCGTTCCCTGTGTCTATACGTACGCGAGAGGTTGCCGTGTGCGTGTCCGTGTGCGTGTTGGAGAGTACAGCATGTCTCTAATGTGTATGGATGTCAGAGGCATAAAATCATCCAAAGTATATTTTGATAGTCATAAACCTGAGTGGATGGATGGATGGATGGATGGATACATGTGCGTGTGCGTATGTAAAAATCACTCGAAGTAACTTTTGAGTGGATGGGTGCAAGGTTGTCTGGATAAACGTGCGCGTGCGTATGTAAATGCATGAAAAAAAAACACATACACGCGTGCACTCAAGTCTCTCTGACATTCCCAAAATCAGAGAAAGGAGCGGGCGCGGGCGGGTGATCTCGGCCCACCTTCCCCCGAGTGGGATAAAACGCCCAACAATCGTCTGTTGTGTCCGGCGCAGCTGAACTTCCCGCGCCGCCGACTCTAGCATCCCCGCACGCTCGCCATGCCGCCTCCCTGACTCATCTCGGCGCTACGTGTCTTGCAGCTTCCTCCGCGCATCAGTCTGGCTTACCCACCTATAATTTACAGTATTCTAAGGTTCCTGCGAAATTTTGACGTGCGCATGTGACATCTCAGCATGACATTATCGTGTTTGTAACATTACGAAGTTCTTGTTTTTTCGTTCGCTTTCATCCATACGAAGAAAAGGCATACGTCTTTTGTGGCAGTGAGACTTAGGGGCGCTACCACGAATAGCATATAAGCAACTGACTAGTCGAGGAAATACGTTCGACTAAGCAGCGGATGAGTCATATTTCGGGAGAAAAAATATGATACGTTGATATGAGTGACTGGTGAAGCTTTACTCTGATCTGATAGGAATCTAGGGTAGAATCTGGATCGGTGTTTCGAGGACACGCAAAAGTTGCAGCGTTTTTCTTCAATTGCAGCAAATGATGGCGCCTGCAATACTCCACGGACTGCTTCGAACAAGCTGTAAATACGCCCTGACAAGCGCAGCGACCTCCCTATCGCGCCGGGTACAGAAATGTCCGCTCCTAAAGCCGCAATATCCGCCCGCGACAAATCTCTCTCGAATCCTCAAAGCCCTCGCGCGTGTGGCTGATCGTCCGCATTCACCAAAGGGCATTTCAGGCCGGCTGAAACGGCCTCCTATCCCTCGATCCCCTGTGCCAGCCCCTTCCAGACATGGAGCACGCAGCGCACAGCTCCGTCAAGTCAACCCATTCCCCTCCCTTCCTTGCCGTGCCTGCGCCTGGCTGGTTGTTATAATGACAACCTCCACTCGCCATGCCCTACTTCAGCCTCAAATTCAGACGCAGGAATTCCAGTCTACCTTGCGCACTGCCTCTGCAAGTTCTGCAAATTTCTACTCTTTATAATACCTGTCACGCATGCTAAAGCACATGACCTCATCGCATGCATAACCACCAACAGATATCTTTTAAAAAATAAGAATACAGTTAGATAACATCGGAATCCTTTGTTCCTGACTCTAATCAGCGTCTTATCACGGCAGT